CTTCTAATGCTGTAATAGGTGCCACCTCCTTATTTCCCATTAGAGCCAGGCATTCTCTTTTCTAATGTCCTTTTTTCTTACGGTAAGCACACTGGTTTTGGCCCACAGCCGGGTTTGGTAATCCTCACCTTTTTCCTTTGCCTCACATCCCACTTCTAATATTTCCAAAATTTCCCCAATTCTTCTGAATATCTTCTAAAACGGCTACCAATTTAGCATTAGTCTTCTTTTTCTCCTCCTCCCTGTTCCATATGCCATCCAAGCAACATCCAGCATTTTTCCTAAGTCCCTAGCCTCTACCCCTTGCAGTTTTTGTAACTTCCACTTGATGTCGTCCGATGACTGCCCCGTAAATAAAGAAGCCAGCTGTCCCATTCTTTCTTTTGACCCAATGTCTAAGGTGGTGTATTTCCTTGCTGCTTCTTTGAGCCGATTTAAAAAGTCCATTGGAGATTCATCTCTATCCTGTTTAATCTCATATAACTTAGACCAATTAACAGCTTTTGGAGTGGCATTTTGTATTCTGAATAGGACTAACTTCTGATAACGCCTGATCATCTCCTTGTCATCTGGATTGTTAGGATTCCAATTTGGATCCTCTGAGGGCAAGTGCTGTTCCACTCACCCCTGTAATGCATCTGAGGCTATTTGAGCTTGCAGATGCGTTCGCACCGCCCTCCGGATCATATCCCGCTCAGTGCTGTCTTAACCATCATTTCAAATGCACTTGCAACCTTTTCCGGATCATCCCTATAACTTCTGGCAGCTACCTTCCAATTATTCAAATCAGCAATTGAGAATGGAACTTTTACAAAAAACGGACCATCATTTCCAACCGCCTGCCGTAAGGGGGCTTGCAACCCTGGCCTCTGTCTGCTCCGATTTCTTTCTGAAATGGGTGTAGAACTCCCTGCCTCCGCTTCCACTATTCCAGCTCCTTCACTATCGTTATCTTCATCCTGCGCTAATTCATCATGCCTACCTGTTATCTGTAACCTTGGCGCAGTCAACAGCTCTAAATCTTCTTCTATCTCTTCTCAAGTCAATTTTAAACACCTCTGCCCTATACTACAAGCGGAGCAGCACCTGCTTAACACCATCTTACACTTTTTATGTTTTTCCAATGCCAAAACAAGAGGATCTGCCGGGGCAAGTTTAATCTCACACTTTTTCTGCCACTCTAGATGTTGTCGCAGTGTGAAAAACATATCAGCATAAATTACTTCATCCCACTTTCCTTCCCTCCTCAGAAAAAGCATTAATTGCAACAAGGTATCATAATTCAAAATCCCATTTACTGGCCACTTCTCCCCTTTGTCTAGTCTACATAAAGGCCACCACTGATGACAGTACTTTATCAAATCCTCCTTTTTAGAAGACCCTCCAGGAGGGCCTGCAATTTGTTTCCAATGTTGTAATATGCACCCTAAAAGTGATTTCTTTAATATTCCACCCGTAGAACATCCAGCCCCCATTATATATGATGTATATAAGACAAAATAGCAGTGCAAAAAATGTGTACACAATAGGAGCAAAAATATATGCGTATAAGGAGCACAATATTTAAAATAGTGATATATCAGTCACTTCATCCTTCTCCGGCTGCACCCCTCGTGGGATAACAGAACTGCGGGTCTGGACTCCACACTCACTTCATACTTAATTGTATGTCTCACAATCTCACACACACACTTCACACATTCATACAACTTTGAGAGCTCCAAAAAAAGTTATCCCATGGCAGCTGTCCATTTATAAGACAAACAAAGATATATTTTGTATAGAGTTAACAAATATACCAAACCAAAGCATATGCTAGGGACACATATCCCTCCTTTAGTGGGTACTCTCCCACATTTAACCTGGACAGCTATGCACCTGCTACTTATAAGCAGGGAACCAAAATTTCCAAAATCGATAAAAGAATGCCTTTACTTACAATCTGAAGTTCTTACTTCTGGCTCTTCAGTCCAGGGATCAGGGTCTCTCTCTGAGAAATCTCTGGTGCCAGCTGAGGTTCTGTGATCCCAGCATCTGTTGAGCTTTCAGAAGCAGAGTCCCATTTGGGTCACCAAAACTGATACAGAAAAGCCAGTTGAAGAAAAACTCTCTAAGACTCAGAATCAGAGCTTTAGAAAGCAGGCATTCTTCATTGCAGCACTGGGTGCACAGGGGATCGCTCCTCCACAAGTGTGCACACCAAGGCCCTTAGATTTACCACTTAAATGCAGGTACCTTACACATATTCATAGGATTGCACAACACATACATATTTACTATTAAGGTGTGGTTAGTCCAAAAAACTTTATCAGCAGTTTTAAAACAATCATGTCACTCTTGCGCCTGGCCTGTGCATTGCCTCCAGGTGGTGGTCTTCGGGGGTCTTCAGGAGGAAGGCCAGTAGTCTTCCTCATCGCCTCTTCCCCAATTTCAACATCGCCAGACCCTAAAAGCTGGACCCCTCTGACTAAATCCTTTGTCACCCACCTTATCTGAAGTGTGATGTCTGTTATCTTCTGTTGCCAGGGCTTGGGCCTACTCCTTTGGGTCATAAAATGCATGTTCTGTCACCATGGTTCCACATCTTCTGTCCTTGGGGCCTTTATCTATGTTTATGCGAGTTTCTTTCTTTGTTCCTAGAGCTCAGAAACTTCTTAGCTTAAACAGACAACTCTTAGGCCTACTACTACTAACCATCTTACTAGTTATGTGCTAAATTTCTTAACATTTCATATATCAGTAGTCCTTGGTAAAATTCTACAGAACATTCTGGGCAAGCAGGATTCTTAGCAATATTATAAAATACTATAAGTAATACTATAACTTGCTATAAGTAAGTAAATAAGTTGCTAAGCAGTTTTCTATAAGTAAATAAGTAAGCAAATCCCAAAACAAGTAATCATTTCTCTGTATCAGTATCTCACTACCAAGAAGAGACCTGAGGGAACATACTATGTACCCTTTTGCAGTTTCTCTCAGTGGCATGTAGGCAAAAGAATGCAAGATGCTCCGAACAAAATGAGGGAGCAAGCAATATTCGCATAATAGTCTGACTGAAGCTGCACTTCAGGTCCTAAAAACTATGGGGACTGTTTGATTTTCTTATTCCCTCACTATGACCTCTTACATTCAAGACTACTAAGAAAAACCTCTGTCAGGTGTTAAGGATTTGAAGGGGTTGTGACTCTTAAATTTGCTATCAACATCCTGACATTTTCCCCACCTGATCTGTATAATCCAGGTGTACACTCCAAAGGGATCCCTGGATTTTCTAAAATAGGGAAAGGCTAAGCTATTTGAAAGAACCCAATAAACGACAATGGTTTGTGCTGGCCGGCTCCCTTTATTAGTTCTGAAGAATGTGCATGATTGAAATTACTTTTTCTGAGTATTTCTGCACTGATGAAAGTGCAATAGGAAGGACTATATGTTGTTGTTACTATTACAATTATATTATTATGATGATGACGATTGTTCTGTAGGAGGAAAGGAGCATGGATAGATCTCACCAGGAGAAGTCTGAATGATTGGTGCTTCAATGGCTTTATGTGCAAGTACCCTGCTATATGCTAATTTTTGCAAATTCACCTGAAAATTCGTTCTCTCTCCCTCACACACAATCTAATACCTATGAACCATCCAGCACTAAATACATAAAACTGCAGGGGAGCTAGAATCCTTTCTCATTCTAGGGTGCAGAATATTAAACATACCATTCGTACACATTTACAAGCTATCATTATGAAACACTTGCCATCATCAAATACCAGGCTAATTTAGGCTTTCCATTTTCAAAGCAATCTATATCGCTGTTCCTTCAGGCTGCACCTAGGCCTCTCACAACCATACTAATGACTTATTATGACTTGCTCCCATTCTGCCTCCACCTGACCTGTAGGCCCCCAGGAGTTAACTGATGTTTCCATACAGTCTGTAATATGAGCAAGAAAGCTGAAGATTGTAAAATCCTGGTGACAGGAGCCATGTTTTTGTTGTACTGTGCATTGCTAAATGGAGTATGGATCAACCACTGGGATGCCTAGAAACAGCATCAATAATTGGAGGAAAAGAGAAGGTCTTGGTGGTTCCCACTCTGGCAAAGTCCTGGTCATAAATTTCCAAATGCATTTATCCACCTGGGTAACTCCTCTCTGAGTTGGAGAGCAATGAGTGATTTTAGAGAGAGTTTCACCAGCAGCAGGCACGAATGCATGAGAACATCTGCACAGGTCTTGTGCTCAGCCTAAGGGCTGATGGGTTTTTCTCTTAGGTGTTACAGCTGCTGTGCTTGCAGACATTGATCTGTGCCACTCACTTTGGATCAAACTGTACTTTCACACAGCATAACAGGCACAGACCTCTATCCTCTTCTAAATCCTCTAGGTACCACAAATATAGACTGTTTGGAAATTAATTTACATTTTGTAATGTGATTTTCATTGTATATGTTTCAGGAATAGTACCTTCTCGACTGGCATACCGTTATATATTTTTGAAGAGCTCATGTTATGAACTTTCACGCTGTATAATTAAATTATAATATAAACTGTGTTTTTGACAAATTTTGGAGGTTTGAAGTTCAGATGTCAAAACAGCAATTTTGACAGATCTACTTCTACAAGTTCAAACTTGGACGTAATGCAGCACAAGCTGCTTGAAACATCAATGAGGTATATGGCCAGGGAAGTGTTAACAAACGGACAGTATGACTTTGGTTCCAAAAATTTTGACGTGGCGATTTTGACCTTGAAGATCAAGAAGGTCACAGACATCCTTCTGCTATTGACGACAATGAATTGAAGGCTCTGGTGGAAGCAGATACATGCACAACTGTTCAAGAACTTGCAAAAGAACTCAGGGCAAGCATATCAACTGTTTCTGAGTATCTGAAGAATATTCGAAAGTCGAAGAAGCTCGGCAAATAAACGCCGCACAAATTGAATGAGAATCACAGAAATAGGCATTTTGAAGTGTTGTCGGCACTTCTTTTTCGCAACCAGAACGACCCGTTTCTCAACCGTATTGTGACATGCAACGAGAAATGGATGCTCTATGATAACGGGTGTCGATCAGCTCAGTGGTTGGACCACGATGAAGCTCTGCAGCACTTCCCAAAGCTGAATCTGCGCCAAAAGAAGGTCATGCTGACTGTCTGGTGGTCTGCTGCTGGTTTAATCCATCACAGCTTTCTGAATCTGGGTGAAACGATCACGGCAGAGAAGTATGTCCAGCAAATCAATGAAATGCACCAGAAACTTCAACAGCTTCGCCCAGCACTGGTCAACAGAAAGGGTCCAATCCCTCTCCACAATAACGCGCGGCCACATGTTGCACTTTCAACGCTGCAACGGTTGAGTGAGCTGGGCTACGAAACTGTGCCTCATCCACCATACTCACCAGACCTCTCGCCCACCGACTATCACTTCTTCAAGCATCTTGACAGCTTCCTGTGAGGGAGACGCTTCAGAAACCAAGGGGAGGCCGAAACTGCCTTTGATGACTTCATTGCCTCCAGAAGTCCAGAATTTTATGCAACCGGAATAAATATGCTTGTTTCTTGTTGGCAAAAATGTGTTGATTCTAATGGGTTTTATTTTGATTAATAAATTTTATTCTGAGCTGAGATATGCCATTTCAAGCATACAAGTTGAAATCGGCAATTAATTTCTAAACAGCCCATAATTATCACCATCATTATGTACTTGTTAGGACACAAAAGCATCAGCAGGACCAGATGTGCTTGCATCTGTAAGTGCTGGGGAACCAGCATGGTTGTGAGGGGTCAGGTTTAACCTCAGGCATGGCTGGGAATTGTAGTCTGCAGACAGCATGTGACTGTGAGCAGCCTCTGACAGTCATGTGAGTGTCTGCCCGCATATAAATAAAAAGAAGACTCCTGAATCTGTGGAGATGATGGGATTTAAGGTAAGAGTTAAATGAGGTTTGTTGAACAGGGACCTCCTGAGCAGTCAGAGTGAAGAAAGACTAAACTGATGGGAAGAAGACTTTTCTGACCAGGCTGTTTGTTGATTTTTTTTTTTTCTGCCTCTGTCTTGAACACTTTGCAGCAATGAATTAACAGTTTAGAAGATGCTCAGGGTTTTTTGCTTTTTTCTTGCCTGCCACCTTTGGACAGCTGATTGGAAAGGGTATGAAGGTTGCATGATGCCTTTGCTGGCAGTAGCCCCGAGTGCGAGTGTGGCATTCAGATATGCAGATCTCAGCTCCAGCTGGTCCTGACTCTCTACCTGTGCAGTGCATCCACTCAATTATTCAGGCAATCAGATAGGCTTACAGATGTGCCCATGCATGTGCATGCACAACTAATCTCATGAAAGTGCAGCTCTCTAACTGCTTAATAACAGGATTTCACCCTTTCCCAACTGACCAACTGTGGCAGGCACAAGCAGCCAATACTAACTCACACTGCAAGCCCAGCCAGCTCAGAGACCTATTTCTTAAAGACAGGGAGGATGAGAGAGGGGAAGCTGTGCCACAAAAGCACCACACATGCAAAAAAATGCAGTTGTGCCCAAACCAGGGGAATGGTGTTGATATATGAAATGCTAATAAATTTAGCACATAACTAGTAAGATGTTTAGTAGTAGTACACTACCTACACCGGACGGCCGGAAGCTTTTCCTTGCTGCACCAACAAAGCATGAGAAGTTGTAAAGATACTGTTAAAAGAAATAATTCCTAGGTTCTGAACTCCAATAGATATGTCATCGGATAGGGATCCTCACTTTATAGCATGTTATCTCAGGAATATCAGGGGTACTAAATGTCACTTGGGACTTGCATACCCCCTACCAGCCACAAGCAAGTGGGAAAGTAGAAAGAATGAACTGTACCCTTAAATTACAGATAAGCAAATTGTATCAGGAGACTTCAATGGATTGGACACGGTTCTACCCCTGGCCTTATTGCGAATAAGAGTTCAGCCAAAGGGTAGGCAACGGCTGAGTCCATACGAACTCCTTTATGGAAGGCTGTACCAGATCTCAGGCTTACCTGGTGATCCACAATTTTGCATAACCACTTTCTTCTTGACTAAAAGGTTTTTTTGAGTAAACATATGTACTTAAAGCCTGGCAAATCCAGTCTTCAAAAGATCCAAAAGTAGGCCAGAAGACATGTGGTTTTAAAGATTTCTTCGACCATTCAACCATACAATATTGGACTAATTTTAATTTACTTTTTCCTTTTCTAGGACCACTTTCATTCCAATTTCTAATCATTATCCCTAATGGACTATCTGGTGGTATATCTGGTAATTTACTCTTTTCTTTCTGGTCCCGGGTTTTTGATTCCTTTTGACACATCTAGGGGTTTTACTGTGGCAACTTCTACAGCCCTTGTAGGGGGTTAGATTGAGGGAGTTGAATCTCTTACCCACCCACATATCTCCTGGGAATTTTCTATGGCAATTCCTCTTGCCCTTGTAGGGGGTTAGATCCAGGAAGTTGAATCTCTTACCCCTCACGTATCCCTTAGGAATTTTCTACGTCAATTCCTCTCACCCTGGGAATTTTCTCCGGCAATTCCTCTGGCCTGGAAATTTTCTACGGCAATTCCTCTCACCTTGGGAATTTTCTACAGCAATTCCTCTCGCCCTTGGTTACCAGTAAGAGTGTCTTGCAGGAGGGCGGCTGAACCCTTTACCCACCCACGTACCCCTAGAACCCGTGCTCCCACCCATGAGTCCTATAGGATCCTCTTCGGTCCTTCACCAGCCAAATCCCCCGCGGGAGTTTGGAACCGCAGTTAGAAGACCTCCACACTCGATTCAGAACTCAAATCCTGGCTCCAAAACTACTTTAATTTCCAGAATGAGGTTCTGTCTCAATCACACTCTCACACACAAGCAACCGAATCCCACCCAACTGAACGGTATCCCTTATACTCATGACTCCGTCGTCTTCATTCGGGTCTTCGTGCACCAGAATTACGGGTATTTTATACTATAGTCTTTGGAGTCTCCAGTTCCTTTGACTATTGCTTCTCTTTTGTCCGTTGATCTCTGGAGACTGACCCAGACTGCTACTTTCGAGCCACAATCTGTGGGGCGCCTCTCAAGAAGCCACAGTCCAGGAAAGCACACTGAGATCACATCAGGGTCACCAAATTGTTATAATCAGAAAAAGCCAATTTTTATAAAAATATATATTTTTATTGGGGTTCAATCGATTTAGGGTGGGAAGCAATAGGCAAAGCAGTGCCGGGTGCACGGAGAGCCGCAACTCTGCCACACGCATCCCGAGTTCCAAATCCAACCGTTTTTATACTCTTATGCCATCGTCTCTAACCCATCTCCTCCCATCAGATAGTTGTCCTGCTCTTTTCCATTGGGTAATTTGAGTTGCTGGGGTGCATGTCCTCCTCCTATTGGGTCTTTTGAAAGTCTCGAAGCCTTGGTCTCTTGGCGCTCTTTTCTCCTATTGGATCTTTTAAAAGCCTCATGATCTCATCCTTTTGGCGGGCTGTTCTTCAGACAGCAGTTACATGTCAGCTCAGTGGGGTTTCTGAGGCACAGTTACATTGTTCCAATCTGAATGGCACACTTTGCATTTAACTGTTTAATATTTAGAGATCATTCAGGTGTATAGTACCCACCTTGCCCAACCTAGCAAATTAGTTACAATAGTTTATTTCAGTACCCGCCTTGCTTAACTTAGCAAATTAGTCACAATAGTTTATTACACTAACAACATACACTGCTGTTAAGTTAAACAGCAAGAACCCCTGGATACACTATTCACGAATGAAGAAAGCTCCAGCACCATGGACATGCCAAGAGGAAGCCCCTTTAAAGCTCCGACCCAAGAGGTGGTAACCATTTTATTGTTACAGCTGGTGATGTATCAAAGGGGCACTTCACAAAGCTTGGGGACACTGTGGAATGATAATACCCATGTACAACTAATAAAATGAGTAGCTTTGGCAATCAACATGAGCAAGTGCTGGGTATGTGCTAAATTTCCAAGTCACAGCTTGGCTACAAATCTTTCATTAATTGGAATTCCCACTCCTTTCAATACTACCTGGAATGATCCCTGGGGTACTTTCAGGGATTATTTTAAGGAAAAAAATTAGGACCCTCAAATTTGGGAAATTAGAGTTCCTAAACTAAAAGAGAAAGTTAAGTGTATGACAGATCGCAAAACTACCCTACAAGGTAATCTCTCAGTGGGAAATTATCCTCAGTGCAACTGGTATTTCCAGTTTCAATTACTAAAGAAACATGAAAATTACAGGGACATGTATTGGAAAGTTCCAGAAGGGAAGGGTTGGTATTGGCTTTGTGGAAACGTAGCCAGAAAATCACTACCGCCTTGGTGGACCAGAGCCTGCACATTAGGAATAGTCCTTCCTCAAATTAAAATACTACCTCAATTACAGGGAATAGGGTGGGCTAGAATACCTTTTGGAAGGCAAAAGAGGGGTATACCAAACTCATTAGTTACACATCCCACAGCTTTCCACTCTTTTGTAAGGTGGTTTATTCCTTCACTAGGGATTAGTGAGAGAAAGCTATAGTAAATATTTCTGGTGTAATAGAAGAAATTGTGAATGCCACAACCAATGCAATTGGAGCTTTACAGAGGGAAGTTACAGAACTTTCCAAGATTATTCTTCAAAACAGGATGGCTTTGGATATGGTGCTTGCTTCACACGGTGGAGTTTGTGCAGTTGTAAATGCCAGCTGCTGTACTTATACAGATGAAACAGAAAGAATAAATGCAGATTTAGGTAAAATAAAACAAGTAGGCATATTACAGGAAGTGCAAAAAGATTATACTTCCTCTGGATTTGAAGAAATTTGGAATAAGCTCACTTCTTGGTTGCCAATTTTAAATCTTTAAAATAATTGCTTGCTTTAAATCTAGGAATCATTGTAATGATAGTAGTAACCTGTTTGACTGTACAGTGTTGTGATTGTTGTCCTCGTTGCAACAAATATGTATAACCCATACCTTAAAGTTACCTTTAAGAGTGCTAAGAAGTATTTGTAACTATTTGCTCACATGTTGGAATTAATCTTTAGTTTCAGTAATGTTACTTTAGGTTGCATCATATAAATTCTTCAACCATGAAGGGAAAGGGGGAATGATACATGAAATGTTAAGAAATTTAGCACATAACCAGTAAGATGGTTAATAGTAGTAGGCCTAAGAGTTGTCTAAGCTAAGAAGTTTCTGAGCTCTAGGAACAAAGAAACTCGCATAAACATAAAGGCCCCAAGGACAGAAGATGTGGAACCATGGTGACAGAACATGCATTTTATTGACCCAAAGGAGTAGGCCCAAGCCCTGGCAACAGAAGATAACAGACATCACACTTCAGATAAGGTGGGTAACAAAGAACTTAGTCAGAGGGATCAGGCTTTTAGGGACTGGCGATGTTGAAACTGGGGAAGAGGCGATGAGGAAGACTACTGGCCTTCCTCCTG